TTCTAAAAATTTATGCGAGTTATCACTTTGTTGGCACTTTGCTATGGAGTAGTCGTCTGTTGGAGAGGATCTTTCTACTACATCAGAACTGATTTTTGATGTTTTAGGAAGGCGTTGGCCCCGGGGAAAGATGATGAAGCGAAACCGTCTGTTCTCGACCATCGGGTGGACGGACGCGAGCATATTTGAGATTACATTCGATAAGTTCGACTTCGTCAATAAATACTAGATCAAATAAAGTTTTACAATGAAATATACGAACCTGGTCACACTCAAACGTACTAGCACAAAGTTACGATCATGGCCCTACTAATCAGTTTCCATACCACCTGGCAGCCTCACAAATCCGGTTTTTAGTTACCGAAAGTTTCTAGGCAAAGTTCACCTGTTTTAACCTGAACAGGCTTTCAGTACTCTGCTGGAAAAAAATCATTGACGGATTTCTTCGTTTCATGGATTCTGGCGCCGTGATTTATGTGATATATCACATGGTATAAACGCAACGAGTTTGAAGTATAATAATATCGGGCAATTGGTTTTAAGTTGCACAGTGGTTCTATGTACAGGTTGTAGTATTGCACTGAGTAGCATCAGGTCTTCGCACTGAATATCTAACGCAAGTTGGTGTTTGAAAACTTCTGGCATTATTACTGGTGGTGTGGCCGGAATCCCCTCAGTTTGTCCATTTGAAATTCTGAGTACAAAACCAAAGCATAGATTGGATTTTAGGCAGTAGAGAGTATTTATTTATTTAGTTGATTTTCTGATCTGTGCCGTTCATTTATCCACGAATTTTTTTCCAACTAGTCATCACTATTTCTCACGTGAAAACTTGAGTCGGGATGTACCGCTCCTCAGTCGGATGATAAATCAAATGACCTTGCCTTTGGACAAACTTATTAAGGCACCGAGACTGGTTGCTTTAAACACAACTCCAGAAGAGGTTGAGCAAGCTCTGATCAAGAGCAAGGTTGTTTGCATCGAAGATCTTGGAAACGGTGTTCGAGGCGTGCGTCGAATTGATGGATGTGAGTCAAATCGTTTGTTGAATCTTTTAAACAATGAGCGGTTAAAAGCTATCTGCTTTTAGCAAACCATTTCATTTTTGCCGCGTACTACCATTGAACAGATTGTATTGGAAAGTTCTATTTAGGTCTTGTATAACATTTTTTGAGTAGATTATTGGTGCATTCCATCCAATTCGCTGGTTTTTATTTGATTTTGTGCACAATCTCTTGCAATTTCCTTGCGCCAACTGCTGTAAACATAAAAATCACTTTTCTCCATCTTAGTTCCTGCGATCGGTTCTCCAAACGATCCAAGCTCTACACGCGTTACCGCCCCCGGGTCAGAAGCAATGACAAGTACAATAACTGGTACGGGCAATGGACCAAGTCATCAGTTTCAGCCTCCTCTGACTTCTGCTCAATCTGCCGATACTTCGAGTGAGGACGACCGGTTGTTGGCTGCATCTTTGGCAGAAATGTCTTTCACCACTAAAACTAATACACTACCGGGTTACTCTTTTCCATCCATGGAACAGTCAACAGGCCAAACGAATGTTCTAATCTCTCCAAATCCAGCTTCGGGCATCATAGGTCCAGGTGGTAGTCGTCTGTCACCCAGCCAACCGGTTTCATGTTCAGCTGCCCATCCTCCGCATCCCGTTGCTGTCGCGCAGACATCGGCAACATATGAAAGCACTACACCGAGTTCNAATGGATCACTCTCTTCTAGTCGTCCCACCTCAGCAATTTGGCCTCAGCCTTCAACATTTGCACTTAGTCCTAACAATCGCTCTTCGTTACTCGGGAATAACGCGTCACAACCGCTTGACTCGCCTTCAGTCGCCAATAACAATCATTCTACTTCTATTCTTGGATTTCCGTCTCGTCCACCGTATGGACCTGGAATGCCCACTGGAAGTTTGCAGACACCTGATCTTCAGCCCATTTCTGTTCTGCCTATGCGCCACCAAGCTGGTTTGCCTCAGTATCTGTTGAGCCAGCCTACTCATGGTTCAGGAGCTTATCCTGGCTCTTTATCATTCTGTCAAATGTGCTACTCAAAGTCACCTATGAATATGGCCATGGCCGCAGCTATCGGTAATCCTGCTCATCAGCATCTGTCCCAAGCTCATCTCACGCCAAATCCTCAATTCCCTGGCCAGATTTTCCACGGTCAACCTGGGCAAATGCCCTCATTAAACGCCCATCAAGCTAACGTTGCTCTAGCTGCAGCTAGTTCTTACCATGCCGCAGTTGCAGCTCTTGCTGCAGCAGCCCAACAACAGGTCTCTCCTGCCTATTTCAACCCGTCCATAACACCGAATATGCATTCACAAGTTCAACATGTCCAGCAAGCATCACCATTGCCCGTGTACTATGCAGCTCAGCCGTTGTCTTTGCCCACGCACTTCCAGCGTCACCCGTTGCCTCGTTTTCCCCATGGTTCGGTATACCCCATTCAAAGTTACCAACAACCGAATCCCAACGCTGCGCTCCACAATCCTGTTCCACAATCGTCTGAAATATCTGGAACACTTCCAAAAGAAGGGTCCATGTATTCTATGAACAATGCTTCGCAGGTTGCCACCAGTATTGCCTACCCTTTTTTGTTTCAACCTCATGTTCATCTACCCCATGCCAACCAGCCGTCAACAAACAACCCTAACCTCGTTGCGGCTGCTGCCGCGGGTTTACACATCCAATATTCTCAACAGATGACGCCCCGTCAACCACCAATGAATGCCTACAATCTTGCTCCTCTCGGTTTGACGGTTGTTAACAATCCTGTTTCCGCTCCGGTACAAACTCAAAATACCAACGAGGATACTAACTCCGCATCCTTAGGGTATCAAGAAAAGAATCATCCTGAATTAACAACAGATGTTCAGTCAGAAAACTTAACACCCCCCGCCTACAGCACGAGCCCTCCGGTTCAGGGAAACGGAGCGGTTCCCGCGTCCCCCGTCCCTGCATCCCCCATCTCCGGTGAAAAAACAAGCGATCTCAATACGAAGCAGTTAGTGGACAGCGAGGAGATCGCACAGAAAACAAGAGTGGCACAAACTGATTTGACAGTGGACAAGGCGGATTCACCCGAAGATTCTGAAGATTCAGGAAGTTCAGGCATTGGGGAAATGAATTCTGCCGGAAGTAGTGGACCAATAGATACTCGAACAAGCTCATCCCTGACATTAACCGACCAACCCCCATCAGATGTGACATCCACATGTGAGTTGATCAACTACCGACGTCATCCTCGTTCAACTCGCACCAAAGACGTCGAACGAAGCCCTTGAATATCCTCTCGTGTTAGCCTTATTTCATTTTCTACATTGCTGAAGTTATGGGGCCATACTCATTCGATCGCCTGCTTCCGCTCCCTTGTCGCACTTTCATC